ATTTACAATTACTTTTTACAATGGCGATAGAACTAGTTTACTAGACTAGAAGTACAGTTTTCTTTCACACTTGAACTTCAATTGAAATCTTTTTCTGCAACTAACTTCACGCGCAAATATCACAAGGATAATCTTCATCATCAATATCATTATTGAATTATTAATATTCTTTCTACTTGACAAACTGCACAGCATAATTAGCCATGCAGACTAATATCTGACCATCATTCAACGCTGCGATAGAAACAGGATTGTAGATATTATCCTCGGTGACTGTCTTGCCAGCAAAAYGACCATCCAGGGTGAATTTCTGGACACGATTATTACCASAATCACACACKAGTAGATGATGGTCATTATCAATAGCCAGGCCCSATGGTSTACTCAGCTGACCATCATYACTGCCGTATCCACCAATCGTCGATATTCTAGTCAGTACTTTACCTTTCTTCTCAAATACATGAATAACATGATTATAATGATCACTTACGTAAAACCGTCCATCATGTGTTATCACGTCAACCGGATCAAAGTWGTCCTTTCTTGTCAAACCAAACTGATATTTATAATCRCCATCTCTTGTGAAGACACGAACACGATGATTGTCACGATCACACACAATGATGTTACYATCGTCATCAACGTGTACTCCATATGGATAAGAAAACTCGTTATGTATGGCACCTTGGTTACWGAAAGTTTTGAACAAATTCCCTGTTATAGTGTTAACTATACATATTCTTCGATTATCTTTGTCTGCTATGACTAAATCTGTATCATTCAGGAATGCTAAACTGTCGGGACCAAGACCATGTTCCTGCACACTATCTTTACAATCATAACTGAGTATGAGATCTCCATTAGTCTTAAATATGTGGACTTTGCAATAAGATCTTGAAGGGTCATAGGACGTATTGGTAACTCCTATAGCGAGCCTGCTGTTGTCCCTGTTCACTGCTATCATACCTGTTAAACAATTGTAAGTATCCGACACATCTTTTATTTGAAACCCTTGTGTTACTCTCATCTGTTGAGGCTTCACATTAGATACATGATTCTCATTCACTTGAACCTCTGCTGTCAGTTGACTATCTACTTCTACTTTTCCTT